TTTAAAAAAATTAATGTGACCTTGACCTGACCTTCGCTACGCAACCCAAGGTCAAACTGATGTGATCAGTAAATACATCTTTTTAAACGCCACAACTTTTGTCTGAAACATTTGTTTGTAAAACTTATATTTTTCCTGATATTCGGGCGTCCCGGTACTTTCCGAACACCCTGTATGAAACACACATCCATAAAAAAACAAATGATTTCTTAAAAAGAAAAGAATAGATCTTTTTAAATGTAAAAAGTATGGTTTAAAAAAAAAAATAAATATTAAATCAATACTAAAGAAATGTTTATTTAAATATTATTTTAAATGTTTGATTAATGTAATACTAATATTAAATCAATATTAAATAAACGTTTCTTTAAATATTATTTTAAACGTTTTATTTAATGTCAAATAAACGTTAAATAAATGTTATATAAATATTTTTCTTAAATCTTTATTTTAAATGTTTAATAAATATTATATAAACGTTTAATAAATATTAAATAAATATTATTTTTACAATAAACTGTACAATGTAATATCAATGAAAAATAAATATTTAAAAAACGTTTAAAAAACATTGTCTACTGATTGGATAGAAATATAATTGTCTTAGAAAATAAATGTTTGTACAGAAAAAATAATATTTAATAACTTTATAAACGTATTCCCCCCTGTAATAATGAATTATCCTTCATTGTTTTTCTATAGTAATAATAAAGTTTACATACTTACTGAGATAGCCAAATCTGCTCGAGCAAATTTTGCCCAATACTTGACTACAACTTTTGCTGCCAAAATGTCATCAAATTGGACACAACATCTGCTAAATCAAAAGTTGGCAAATTGGCGCCAAACACCGAACAAGGTTTGTGCGGCGCAGTTTGACGTCAAATTGATGCCAAATACTGAACAAAGCTTGGTGAAATCTAACACCAAATTGACGTTAAATACCGACGAAGGTGCGGCGCAATTTGGCGCCAAACTTTGCTCGGTATTTGGCGACAATTTGGCGTCAGATTTCGTCACCAAGCTTTGCTAACAAAACCCAAACGCAGATGGCATCGGATTTTCCGTCATGTTTTGGTCATATTTGGTATCAATTTGGCGACAATTTAGTACCAAATTGTTTGCTGGATATATATATATATATATATATATATATATATATATATATATAT